ACTGGCTCATGAGAAACTAGTTTCTCTCAACACTCTGGGATAGAGGGCTGGGGAACCAGAAAGACACCAAATAGGAGCAGGGAGGATGGCTTGGGAGGCCAGAGGCCGAGGGTGTGGGTCAGAAAGAAGGAATTAGCGCTAAAGGAAGGAGGGCAGGCCAGGCATGGATGAAGTCAGCACATTTTTGCTTGGTTGACTCTCATGTGCCCAGCACTACGCAGGGTTAAGGAGACTTGGGTTTTGTTAAGCCGAGAGTTTGGTTGAGCAAGGAGACAGTCTCTTTTTTTAAAAAAAAGAAAAGGTTCTTTATTCATTTGGCCGTGTTAGGGTTAGCTGTTGGGTGTTAGTTGCAGGACAGGGGATCTTCATTGTAGGACCTTTCCTTGTGGTGTGTGGGATGAGTTGCTCTGAGGCATCTAGGATCCTAGCTCCCCAGCCAGGGATCGAACTCACATCCCCAGCATTGCAAGGCAAATTCTTAACCGCTGGACCACCAGGGAACTCCCAAGGTGTCAGCCTTGTATACCAACCACAAGAGGAACCCTCCAAGAGAGGACCTGATAGCCCAGTGGCTAAGAGCCCTGTCTCTGGAGCTAGAGTCTGAATGGTTTAGTCCTGGCTCTGCCCCTCTCAGCTGGGCTTGCCTTTTCACCTCTCTCTACCTTCCTCTTTTCATCCACAAAATGGGGATAATCGCATTTACTTTAGTGTTTTTATGAGGGTAAAACGGGGGAATCCCTGTTAAGTGCTTAGGACAATGGGAGAGTGGGTCAATAAATATTAGCTGTTGTCCTTGGACATTCTGGGAGCACAGAAAGAGGTGGAATCATTTTGACCTGGAAATAGGGTGACCAACCATCCTGGCTTGGTTGTGGAACATTCTGTACTGAAACCAGGACCATCACAGGAAAACTGGCCCATTGGTCACCCTACCTGGAAAGCCAGAGCAGGATCTCAGAGAGGAAGTGATGTCTGGGCCGGGCATGCGCTAAGGATGACAGGGACTTAGCTCAACAGAAGATAAAGCCTTCATGGAAAGGTGTGGAACCCAGGTTCAGGCCCAGGTCAGCTGTGAGCTCCCTAGGTGACCCTGGGCATTCTCACAGACTCAGTTGTCCCGTCTGTAGCCTAAGAGGGGACTGACTGCTCCCAGAGGCGGGCCCCTTGGGGGTCTGCAATCTGGGGAGATGGAGGCTGCAGGAACGCCTGGTGAGAGAGCGTCAGGGTCACCCACTCCTGCCCCAGGCCTGTGCAGACACACGCACATGCACACACACACAGACATCCACACACAACAGTAGGGTAAGGGTGAGGGGTCAGCCTCACAGGATAAGGGAGGCACTTACCCCTGTGGGGCCGGGAGCAGCCCCATCAGGAGGTCTAACTGGAGAATCAGCTTTAATTGTCTAAAGAGGCTTACTGCTGAGGGTGGGGGTTGAGCGAGAAGATCTCTGAAGAGATGCAGAAATATTCCTGGGTAATAAAATATCCCCTTTTCAGTGTCAAAGTTAATGTTCCAGGCCTCAGGTAAAACTGGATTCTTATCAGCCAGCGCTCTCCCTGGAGAAGGCTGGGCGGCTGCAGGGAAGGAGGGGACAGGTGGGTTCCCTTCATCCTCAGAGTCAGGGGCTGGTGGTCAGAGGGAGCTGAGCTCCCGTTGTGAGCCTGCCCCCTCGGTCCCTTGGACGTGCCACCTGGATGTCAAGCTGACGCCCCTTCCTCAGTCATTCTGCCCTCCCCATCCCTCCCTCATGGGTTCCCTTCTCCTTTTTTTCCTCCCATAGCATTCTGCCCACCTGCCTATCTCCATCCCTTCTGCATGTGCCGGCATCTGTTACTATTTATGTCTGTCTGTCCTGCTGCAGTCTGTCCCCTGAGGCCAGGACAAGAGGCTGGAGGCCTGGCACACTGCTTGGGAAGAACACACGTGCACTGCACGCTCATGCACCCCCTTCAACTCTGCACCAGCAGGTGGGGGCGGGTGGTGGCCTTGCCCCCAGACGCCACGTCCGTGCCCAGGGCTGCTGCCTGCACCCCTGCTTCTGTGCTGGGCCCCAAGCCCTCTGGCGTGTGCCAGCGGCGCAGCGGCTCTGACAGGCCATGGGTTTAAATATAGAGTTGCGTATGCAAGACGAGGCTAATTTTAGCAGGAATGTGCTGGAAACTTTCTGAGGGCTCTGTTCTCTAGCTGTCTCCCCTGTGCTCATCACTCGGAGCTGGGAGTCAACCTGCTGGCCCCGTCCCGCACCTTCCCACTTCTCTCTCCCAGGCACCCCTCTCCCCAGACCAGGACCCCAACACTGGCCCTGTCCCTTGTCTCCCCAGGGCTCTGCTCCCAGGGGCCCAAGCCCACCCAGCTGCCTGAGATTCTAAGTCCCTCAGGTCCCCTCTCTTGCCCCAGTCTCTTGGGCAACACCAAGTCTGGCCAGCCCTGGGGAAAATGATCCAGCCAGCAAAATTCCTCTTCCCCGCCCCCCACCCCAGTGATGTGTCCTGTCAGAGTGATACCCCAGATTCTCATGCTCAACCAGTTGCCGAGCAGTCACTGTGTGTCAGGTACGTTGATGAATGCATTTCTAGAGTTGACTTGTTTAATCAGTTCGACAACCTTAAGACAAGCATGAGAAATAGCCCCATTTTACAGAACAGCACAGTGAAGTGCACAGAAGTTTGAGGACCTGCCCAAGGTCATTCAACATCACAGCCTGGTCGTGAGATACGTTAATTTTCCCAGGGAGGATGCTTGTCTTGTAAACGAGAACTCTGGAAGAAGGGGGTCACATTCAGCACGAAGGAATCACTGACATGTAAGTTCAAGGACTATGATTCTGGTAGAGCACCGCTCCTCAGAGGCTGGAAGGGGGAAGCCCCTTGCCTCTCATCCTTCCTGTGTCCTGTTGCCCCACCTGGGGGCCTAAGGCAACAGGCCATGCTTCTCCTCCAATCAAATCCCGCATTTATTTTGGTTCCTCTCCTGTCCTGCATCTATGGGGCACCGACTGTGTGCCCAGCACTGCCTCGCGTGCCCAGCTGCAAAGATTAAGGGAGTGAAGGGCCAGCCGGGCTCTGAGGTCCTCCTGGCTCAGCTGGTGGCAGGCAGCAGCCTGCAGTAGACAATTAGCTGCGCGCTCGACGGTAAGGATGATAATAGGAGCTGGGAGGACAGAGGAGAGAAAGAGTTGACATCCAGAAGGGACTGCACCCCCGCGAGAAACTCCAGAAGGCATCAACTCTTCCTCCCCGGGCTGCTCTGACTGTTCTACCCGGCAGCTCCAGAAAAATGCCCTGTCTCCCCGCGGAGCTGTGTAACAGGCTGCGTGGTTGTTGTGTTTGAGCGCGAGGACAGGTCCCTGTAATGAGGATTAGAATAGTAACAGGAGGATGACACGCTGCAGTTAGAGCGCAGAGGAGCTCGGGGAGCGCGGTCCACCCCCGAGGGAGGGGGATGCGGAGCCCCCCACACACGTCTGACCGACCATCGCTGAGCCACTCCACTGGGGCCCGTGGGGCTCTCCTTACGCCCCCGCACTAGGGAGGGTGGGGCACAGGTGCCCCAGGAGGGCGCAGAGGACCCACTTAAAGTTGTCCTCCTCTCTCCCTCCTGTTCTGCCTTCGAGTTTGTCCATAGCAATAAATTCCTTCTTAAACACGAAGTAAGTTCCTTATTCATTTTTCTTACTGTCTAGAGTGGACTCTCCAGGTTTTGTCTCCTGCCACCTCTCTAGTGACTAGGACAGTGCCTGGAGCATGGTAGTTGTTCAAGAAATGTGTGTGTGTGAACAAATACTTGTGGGTTTCCATGGGCTGTGTGGACTTGCCGAACCTATGAGACTGGAGATGGGCTTCCTGTGGCTGAACCTGTCCGTGGGAGGAAGACTGTGAGGGGTGTGTGTGCGTGTGTGTGTGTGTGTGCGTGCACATGCATATGTATGTCTGTGAGGGGTGTGTGTGTGTGTGCGCACATGCATATGTATGTCTGTGAGGGATGTGTGTGTGTGCGTGTGTGTGTGTGCACATGCATATGTATGTCTGTGAAGTGTTTGTGTGCGTGCACATGCATATGTATGTCTGTGAGGGGAGTGTGTCTGTGAGGGGTGTGTATATCTGTAAGGTGTATATGCCTGTGAGTTGTGAGTGTGTCTGAGAGGCACACACATGTCTCCGTGTGGGGAGCGTGTGTGTGTGGGGGGGGTGCTTTCAGCCTGGTCACTGACCCCCTGCACTCCATGGCGCAGGCAGCTGTATGGGCTCAGGTACTGGCCTAGGTCTTCTTGGTACCGATGCTCAGGGAGCGGAGGGGTGCAGGTGTGTATCTGCGCGCTCCGGTGATGTGCGTCGTGTCTCCCTGGAAGATCCCCGCTGATACACATTTCCCCACCCCCATCACACACCGGGCCCCTGGGACTAATTCCATCAGGTATGCCCACATTCAGTCACATCCCCCCCGGGTGCTGGGGTCACTGTGCCAGCTTTGGAGCAGAGGCCACTGTCTGCAGGAGGAGATACTGTCTGGGGGAGGTGATCGTCCCAAGCGGGTTTCCATGTGCTCCTCATGGAAAAGTCAAGGCCTCTTGTGAAAATGAGAAAGATGGCCCGACTTTGAGTCGTGCCTGCTGCGTGCCAGGCATTGTGCCAACGGCCTTCTGATTCTCCCAGCCCTGTGGGGTGAGTGCTGTTGGACAGATGAGGAAACAGAGGCACTGGGGGAAGAAGCAACTTGCCCAAAGTCACACAACTGGGATGGGGACTGGACCCAGCACCACACCGATGCCTCACGTCTCCTGCTCTCCCACCATCTGAGGGCCTCACCCAGGTGAGACATCTCCCTTCCCCCCTTCCCCAGACACCCCCCACCTTGTGCAGGGGAGGGATGGAGAGTGCATGAGGGAGCTGCCTGTTTTCAAAGAGTCGCATGTGGGTTTATCACCCAAGCTTTACTGACAACCACCCCTGTCCTACAGTTGTGTCCTCCAAAGATGTGTTCAAGTCCAAACCCCTCATACCTGTGAATATTATTTTATTTGAAAATAGGGTCTTTGCAGATTGGTCAAGATAAGATAAGGTCACACTGGATCGGGGGGTGCCCTTAATCCAATGACTGGTGTCGTTATAAGAAGATGAAAACGCAGCCTCAGATGCAGACACACACGGAGAGAACATCCCGTGGCAGTGGGAGCAGAGCCTGGAGTGATGCCTCCGCAGTCAAGGAACACGGAGGGCGGCCGGCCGTTCTGAGAAGCTGGGAGAGCAGCGTGGAACAGACGCTCCCTCTGAACTTCCACACAGAACCAAGCTCACCTCAGCCTTAATCTCAGACCTCTGGTCTCCTCAACTGTGAGAGAATCAGTTCCCGTTGTTTTAAGCCACCAACTCCATGGTAACATGGCAGCCTTAGGAAACGAGTCTGCCCTCCCCTCCCAGCATGAAAGGACATGTGTATACACACACACACACACACACACACACACACACACACACACAGTAACTTAAATACACAATTACTGAGACTCACACTTCAGGTCACACAAGCCTGTGTTGGGTGTCTTCTGGGTACCGTACCCAGAAGCTACCTCACACCCGCCGGGCACACGCATCCCTGCCCATCACTGGATGGAATTCCCTTCTCCGGGCCCACCAGGAACTCACAGCGGAAGCCTCGCTGAGGACAGAAACCACACTCCTCCTGGGGCTTCCTCCCGGGTGTCCCCATGGTTCACTTCCCAGCCTTCAGTCTCCTGGTTTCCCTTCCTTCCTGCCTTCCTTCCTGCCTGCCTCCCGCCCTCCCTTCCTCCCTCCGCCCCTTTCTCTTCCCTTTTGAGTAAACACAGCCCCATTGCAAGGCCCTGCCGTGTTCTGAGAGCTGCACATTGCCACCTGTTGCTATGGAGAAGCCTCTTTATCACAAACACTGGGTAAACAGCTGCTGCTGGGAGCCCCTTTCTGCTGGCCAGGGGTTTATTTGGAGAAAGTCAATAAGGAAAAATAAACATTCCCAGCCCTGTGTATATACAGCCTTGGGACGAGTGCTCCACAGAGGCTCGGGGCCTGCCAGCTCCCCAGAGGGTCCAGCAGGCTGCGCCCCGCCCCTGCCTCTGATCCCAGAATCCTCCGTTCTGAGGCCGGGTGGGGGGCCAGACAGCCCAGGACCTCCCTTCAGACTCACCCACCCTGCCCTAGGCCAGGCCCAGCCGAAGGGTCACGGCTTGGACCCCTCAGCAAGGGTGTGATGAAAGAAATCCTTTCAGGGATGCTCCCCCAGGACACCAGAATTCCTGGGAAGAACCAGGCTCAATTTGGCTAGATTAGGTTTCTGTCTTAAAAAAAAAAAAAAATCAATTTCTTTAGCTGCATCAGATCTTAGTTGTGGCATGTGGGCTCTAGATCCTGGATCGAATTGGGGCCCCCTACACTGGGAGCATGGAGTCTTAACCACTGGACCACAGGAGACATCCCTAGGCTTCTCTCTTGTTTGGCATCTTAGTTTCAGTCAAATTCAATGTTACATGTTTAATACTATAACCATCCAATCATTCAGCATGTACTTATCTGACAGTTATGATGTGTCAAGAGATTGTGCTGGACTCTACTCCCTCCCGCCTTCAAGGTGCTTACAGTCCAGTGGGGAAGACAGAGCATCAGTCACCATCATGATGCACTCCACTAAATATTTGTAGGTGTGTGGCATGCAACACAGGAGACGTATAGGTGTTGTGGGAGTGTGTAAAGGCGCTCATCTCTCTTACATGTTTTAACTCAGTTCATCCTCAGAACAATCCTGTGAGGGGATAATATTTTTATTCTCATTTTACAAATGGGGAAGTTACTTTACCTAAAGTCAATTAGCTTCTAAGTGGGAAACTCAGGATTTAAACCCAAGACAGCCAGAGGCAAAAGTCCCAGGCTCTAAATCACTGTGTAATTCTGTCAGGCTCGCAGTAGAAAAGCTACAATCCCTACCCTCAAGAAATTCGCAAGGAAAGTTTTCTTGAAATATGTCCGTGTCATTGTGGACAGGCAATGACCCGCGTGGTCAGTGAGGAGCACCAGACATTCATTCAGAGAACATCGGTGTGACACAGAGGGCTCGGGGCCAGAGGAAGCCATCGGGTTGAGTTTTGCAAGCTGAACAGAATTTAGATAGAAGCCAGATGGCAAGGGAGGGATCTCCCAGGGGCGGAGCTGAGGACAGTCTGGCTAGGGTTGGGGAAAGGAAGACATGCTTTGGAGAGGCAGGAGGAAGCCTACCACCTTGCTTTTCACTCCAGACCCCTATGCATCTCTTAGAAACTAACCCCCATCCACGCCACCCTGCTTTGGGCCAGGACCTCATCCTCTCCCTCCTGCAAATCTAAGCAGCTTCCTTCCTGGTCTTCTTGCCTCCAGTCTTGCTCAGCTGTAATCCACTCTCCACCAGCCCCCAGGATCTTACAGAAACACAAATCTTTTTTTTTTTTTTTGTCCTGATGGGTCTTTGTTGCAGCACATGGTCTTCTCTAGTTGTGGTACTTGGGTTGCAGAGTGTGTGGGGTCAGTAGTTATGGCCCCAAGGCTTAGTCGCCCCGCAGCATCTGGGATCTTAGGTCCCCAAACAGGGATGGAACTCGAGTTCTCTGCACTGGAAGGCAGATTCTTAACTGCCAGACCACCAGGGAAGTCCCCAGAAACCCAAAACTACTCATGTTGCAACTCTCCTACTTGCCGTCTCCAGATAGACAGAGGCCACGCCAGTTTTGCTATCATCTCTTCCTCTTTTCCATAAGCATTCGTGCTTGTGCACCAAACATGGAGAAACACTCATGTTTGCAAATGCGTGGGTCCCTCCTGTGCGTTTGTGCTTTGCCCTCATTCTTCCTCCTGCTTGGAAATCCTTTCTGAAGAGTCACCTTCATCCGCAGACTCTCAATGAGCACCTATGTGTGCCTAGCGGTGCTGTCCTGAGCCTTGGGAACAAAACAGTGAAGAAAACAGCAATCCTTGTCCTCATGGAATGTGTATCTTAGTGAAGGATCTACACTACAACAAAACAAAGAAGGACAATATGTACAAGAGCGGGTGCTGCTGAGTGCTGGGGGGGGACAAAATACAGTGGGAAAGGGATGGGTCAGAACTAGAGGCCATTGTGATGATTCTGAGTGAGATGAGGAACTAGTTCTCAGGTTCTAGGGAGATCCCTCTGGCTGTTGTGTTGAGAAAGGGCTGAAGAGTGGGTGGGGTGGAGGGGGATGGAACAGGATTCCCTCTTCCTCACAAGGCTGGCAGGGTCTCTGTCCAGGGTATCCTCCCCCTCCTGCCCCAGCTCCCTAGGGGATTCCTGAGGATAACCTGGGATGAGAAGACACCCCCTGCAATCCTCATCCATCACCGCAGGTCCCGCCAAGGTGCTCTGGTTTATGGGCCTATCCCTGCAGATCTCCAGGCCTGACATTGCCCTGGCATTACCTGACTCTCTCCAGGCTGCCTGCCCATCTCCCCCGCCTCCACCCAAGGCTCTGCGGAGGGCCGGAGCCCTGCAGAGCAGTGATCCATGTATCAGGAGCAGAAAAATTAACATTCCCAAGCTGTAATTATATCTTCCATGGGTGACACCTAAGGAAGCATCTTTTTATAAAAGCAGGTAAATTGAAGGCTTATGGGATTGTGGGGAATGGGTATATTTTTAGTATGCTCCCCTCACCGCCCCTGATTGCCAGAACCCTGATAATTGCTCAGTATGGGGTTAAGGGATTCTCGCAAAGGGGACCTGGGAGGCACTGAGAACTTAGTTAAGCCAAGTGAGAGTCTAGGAAAGAAGCCTGGAGAAACTCCTCCTGAGGAGGGAATTATGGGATGAGTCATTCATGAATGGGTCGGGTGTAACCCTTATATGGTACGTAGTAAGTGCCAGATGGTGTTCTAAGCGCTTTCTGTTAATCTTCACAACAATCATACGAAGTACGTACTGCTATTGCCCCCATTTTGCAGATGAGAAAACCAAGGCATTGGAGGTTCAAGTGTGATTTTCAGTCAGACATTGGAGATGCATATACATGTCTATACACATATCAAAGTATGCTGACTTCAGCGGTGAATGAATGAATTCCTTCTGTATTCCTCTGATGTTTACATCAGAATTCTGCATTTCTCAGATGTTTACAAAGAAACCTAAAGCTCAGCCAATCAGAAAGCTCGGAAGTTAGGAAGTCCCTACCCTTTGGGGTGGGGCCTCTGAACACACTTCCTGTTCCTAAGAGCTGGAGGTCCCCACTCAGTGTAAAGTCAGCCATTTTGGTTGGTGGGTGGCCCCTCTATGTCCTTAAGCACAGAATACTGGAGCTTGAGGCTATGATAAGATGTTTAACGAGCTAAGAGCAGGGTCTCTCAGGCTTACAGGATCTTCTGCCCATTTAGGGAACTGGTTGGATTAGTAGATCTGCTGACATTGGAGAAAATGTAAAGAGAGAGAAGGAGGGACTAGGGTTTCCCTATGTGTTGTCCAGTGGCTGCTGTTGTCTAGGGACACCCCTTCTCCAGCAAGGACATCAGCCTAGAGAAGGCACAGGAGAGAGAGAGGCAGGGGGAAATGTGATTTTTAATGCAAGCCTTGGTAATCAGCTATTTGTGATGGAATTTTATCTGTCCTGGTCTCTGAGGGACGTGAAGCGGGAGTGAGGGAAGAGGGGTCAGAAATTAGTATGCAGAAATATCTGATCAGCCAAAGTAATTTTCTTTAATAATCGTATTCATACTGCCTGCTCTCTGCTCACTAGAAGAATTAAGTATTTAATAGTAATATATTTCATCTGGCAGTGGTTCCGTTTCGTTAGGAACCGTGATGCCTCGTTGGTGTATGTGGGTGGGTGGAGGTCTGGTGTGGGGACAGGTAGGAGGTGTCAAAGCAGAAAGAAATAGATAAGCGAGGAAGGGAGTCGGTATGGGTGGGCAGGAATAGAAGAGGGGAAGCTGTGTGCCAGGGTGAGCACAACAACCCTGGGAGACGCCATTCAGGTGCTGTCACCATCTGAGCTGGGCTGTCCAGCTCTGTCCTCTGGCCGCAGTTAACACGTCCCAGAGGCACCCAGTTCTGACCCAGTTCCTTAAGCTTTATCCCTAACCATCAAAGATGGGTCCTCCTTTCTGACCTCTGATATGTCCCTAGCGCCCAGTATGGAGACTTTCCCAAAGACTGATAGATGAGCTGCATGGCAAGTCTCGCTGAGGGTAGCATGACACAGTGAATCCCAGATTATGCGCTTACACCCATGTGTAAGCTTCTGGACAGATTCCTGGGGCTGCCTCCATGTATTTCCCAGGTTTATGCCATTCCTGGCTCATGCCTGAGCAGGGCTGGTGCAGAGGAGAGAAGCATCCTATATGCTGGCTAGCACAGCTGACAGCTGCCTCTATGCCCCAGGGCTGCAGGAGCAGTGTGCTTTAGCTATTACATGATTTTAATAGTTAAAAAGCAGCCCCAGCGCGTGCCAGGGGTGTAATTGATGACACCCAGGGCTTGGGAACTCGTTCTCCACTGAAGGCACTTGGAGAAGCTTTTGGCCTCTTTTGCCAGGCTCTCTGAGCCCAGCTGCCCCAGAGGAAAACGTCAGTGAGCAAGGGGCAACTACATTTGCCCGATGAGATGGAGACAGAGACACAGAGGGCCAGGCTACAGAGAGCAGAGTTCAGCTTCTCACTGTTCTTGTAAGAGCAAGCTCCACAAACTGATGTGCATTGATGCTGGCTGGCATTTCCAGGCAC